CACTGCTTTTCAGAGTGAGATTCCAGTGTGAAGGAAAACAGAAAATAATGCCCCATACCCATGTCTGCTAATGGCTGTGGAAAAGTTCAGGCAGACAGGGATGGAGTTGCTCTTGGTTTGTCCTGGCTTGGAGCAAGAACGATGAGATTTGAGAGGCTTCAGGCTCTCTTTCACAGTTACCCAAACCCTTGGTGTTGTACTGATTTACACAGTCCAGCTCCTTTCCTCCTGTGATTGTACCTTTCAAGAAACATTGAGGTGAAGTTTTGGGGTTTTTTTTCTCCTGTACCTCTGTTGAGGTCCTCCAAACTGCTTTCTTTGTACATAATCCATTTTCTTTCTTGTTAGACTTGGATGTCTCTCTCTATATTATTTATGGCCTGTTCCCAGTTTTGTTGTTGGATAGAGCAGTTGATTTGAGCTCTAGTATCAATCCATCACTACCTTGGGGAGATATAATTGCTTATAAATATCATACTTTGTGTCGTCTTTGTTTTTCATCACCTTGAATGTGTTATCAGCTTGCTCAGCCTGTAAGGCCTTATGCCTGGGAATAGTAAACTGTGAGGAAAATAGATGTGTTAGATCCTCCTTTCAGTGAATGCAGGCTACTGTTGTAGGTTATGAACTCAGTGAAATCACTGGGGACAAACTTCAGTAACTGAGTGTGAGGTGAAGTGTGGCCTTAAACATTAGAGGCTGGAAGCAGGGGAAAACAAGTAAGATTAAAGCTCACTTGAATTTTATTTAATTTTTTTTAAATATTACACAGTTTCCATAGCAAACAAATTAGAATTTCTTTAGGGGAAGAGATGGAAAACTCCACAATGGAGAAATTTTGTGATGTTGGCCAGCAGATGGTACTTGTTTTTTTTAATATTTATTTCTTGTAGGTGCCTGAGCTATTGCTCACAGGTCTGCTCTAGCCACCACAATTTGGGATGCTCCAGCATGTGGTGGAGGAGGATCAGAGTCTGTAGGAGGAAAGGGAGGCTGTTACAGTGATACAGAGAAAGACCTAAATATCTGCAAAAGCATTCCTGAGAGTGAGATGGATAGCTCAGGGAAACAATACCTTTCAGGCAAAGTGTTTTTTCATACTTCAGACTTGCCAGAAAAACAGTGCAAGAGCATATAAAACTGGTAGGAAGCTGTGCAGTGGCTGGGGAAAACAACCTAGATGATTTAATAGACTTTGTGTCTCTAACATCTGCATTCAGGGAGTTAATGTGAGTTAGTGGCATTCTGAACATGCTGCGTTCGTGCTAACTCAGGGGAAGTGGCAATTCACAAAGTGCACAGCTGCACTGGTACCATTACATGCATTGAACCTGGCAGTTACTCACCAAAAGCCAGGAAACTTGTTGAATTACAGCTGGTAAGGGCAGAGGATGGAACTCTGCCACCCTCCGTGGGCAGTGGTGCCAGCGCCCCAGGGCTGCTCCCTGTGCCCCTCACTGAGCTGAACCTGCTCCCAGCAGTACCCCAGGGCTGTGCCCCTCACTGAGCTGTACCTGCTCCCAGCAGTACCCCAGGGCTGTGCCCCTCTCTGAGCTGAACCTCCTTCCAGCCCAGCATGCCCTGGAGCCCCTTGAAACTTTTTCTCTGCTTGATGTTGCACTTCTCCAAATGGATTTCTCAGCTCCTCTGAGCCGAGCTCCTTTGGGATACTCCTCCATAGGAGCTCCGTTTATCTCAGTTCTCTGGGCCTGAAGAAAACTCCAAAGCTCGTTAGGATCTTGTTTCTCCTGTTTATTAGGATGTTATCACAGAACTTGGCAGGTCTCTCCAGACTTTCTGCACAAGTTCAATTCACCATAACCTGCCTCACTTTGGCTCTGAAGGCACAAAATGGCCCCGAACCAGGCGGCTGTTTCATCTTTATATCCATTTTTACCCAATTAACAATAGACAGGTGTATTGCTTTTATAAATTAACAAATAAGTTTTCTATATCTACTTACACAATTAAAACTGTCACTGACCTTCAACCAGTCACTGTTTGTGCTTCTAAAAACTGCAGAATCCTGGAGAAGAAGGAAGAAGGAGAGCTAAGAACTTACACCCTTTTTCCTCCATCTTTACTCCATGTATTAAACCCTCTAAAATCTCTCTTTTTCACTTCAGTGACATCCTAAACATTCTACTACTTTCTACTTAATTTTTTATCAATCCTGGTTTACCCAGGGATATTTGGAAGCCTTTCTGTCAGTGACAGGCAAGATTAATGTCTTTTTGGAGAACAGGACAGACAGAGAAATGTCTCTCCATTTCTGGGTTCCTACACGAAGGCTCTCGCTGTGTCTCCTCACTGAGCTGAACCTCCAGCAGGGGAGCTCTGAACCTGCTCCCAGCCCAGCCCTGGAGCCCCTCGAAGGCTCTCCCTGTGCCCCACTCCAGACCTGCACGTTGCTGTGGGTGTAAACCCTCCATCCCTCCTTATGTTTGTGACATTGTCCTTTTTGCACAGCTTCCCGTTGTGTCCCTTCCTTCATGGAATCCCTGGCAGAGCTGCAGCCTTGGCAAACAGGGAAAGCAGCAGGAAAGCTTTGTGTGGGGTATCAGCTGTGTGTACCTTGGGGACTGTTCACACTGGAGCAGCCCCTCTGGCTCCATACAGAAGTGCTGGAGGGACTCTCTAAGCAGTAGATTGCTTATGGCCAAATTCAGTGTTTGCAGTTGAACCAGCATCCTGCCATGGGCTTTTTGGTTTTTCTCTCCGTTTTCCAGTTGGCCAGGGACTCAGCAGATCTGGTGTGCTTTCCCAAGTACTCAGAATTTCCCAACGTCATAAACTGGGACTAAGGGCTTATTATTGTTGTTATTATTATTATTATTATTAGCCATTCCCCAAGGCAGCTAAGGCTGTGCTCTGTGTCAGAGGCTCTGGATTTTACAGGAAGGTAAGAAAGGAGCACAGATAGTTCTTGGCTGTGTAGCAAAGGAGCTTTCTTTGTGCCTGTACCTTACTGTGCTGTGCTGTTCAGCTCTTTGTAACACAAGGCTGAGGCATTCCTAAATACTGCCATTTCAAGGCTGACAGCTCAGAGGCAGCACACCCCACATTTCCTAGGGGCTGTAGGGGAGAACCAGAAGCACTGGTGGAGTCGGTGCCTCCTGGGGCAGTCTCCAAGCAGTCATTGCTGAGTGCTCCGAGGGTGGCTCTGAGGGTGGCCACACTTGTGCTCATTTGCCTTTGTCTGAAGTCATTCTTTTGGGTGGAATTGTTTCATTCTCATTGCATCTCTGAGGGCACAAGAAAATTGCTGGTTTATTGGGAGAACTTCACCCTCAAAATACTCAGCCAGCTTCAAATGCCAGCACAGCTGCTGCAGATGCAAGAATTACGTAGGCAGAATGGATTGAGCTGTTTGTGCCATCTCTCCTTTTCTGGCCGTTCTCATCCTGCCTTGTGTTCACCTTTGGTGCTCCTGGGCTGGACCTTGCCAGGAGGGTGGGCACTGGGAGTTTGTGGAGCAGCTGAAGGATGTGCTGGGGGTGCCTGACAAACCTCTGGCCTTGGGACCTGCTGCAGTGCCAAGAACGAGGAGCCAGTGGCACAGAAAAGAACTGGGTTGTAAAATAAAGGATCCAAAGGGAAAATCCCAGGAAAGGAAGTGAAGGATATGTGTGGGGGTTCAAGGACTTCATCCTAGATACAGAGATTGCATTTGCAGATTCATTCCCCACATACACTGTAATTCTTTATGAACTGATCAATCTGACCATGGCTTGCCAGGACAAGAAGGTGCCTTTCTGTAGGACAGTGATGTGTAAAATACTGGATTCTAGGTTATTCCAAATAAATGTGGGCTTCCAAAGCTGAGGGTAAGGAGCTGTAATTAGTCAAGTATGCTTTCCCCCAAGGACCAGCAGTTCTTTGCTGAGCAGTATGATTAATCAAGAAGAGGTTGAACATTATCTGCCATGTTGTCATTTCCTGACTGCAGGGTTTGTACTGGTCCATACTGTAATGTTTTTAGGCTAAATGAGGTTTCTACTGGAATGCTCTTTACATGTGAAACCATCCTGACTTTGAGGAAAGGGGTCTTCTCATTTGAACAAAGAGTTACATTCATTTTTTCATGTTGTCTAATTCCTTTGTCCGGTGCAGAACTTGTAAATTGATTTTGGCTTTTGGAAATTAAATGCATAGTAAAACTAGAAATATTCCTGTTAAAGATGTTGGAAGGCAAAGCTGAGCTCAGCGGCACTGCTCACTTTATACATGCATGAAGTAAATTAAGTGCTGAGTTTAGAGAAGTGTTCAGCATTGGAGGCTGAGGCTCGAGCTAATGTCAAGAGAAGGGTGGTCATACTTCTTACATTAAATATTGACATTTTACTTCTTAGTTCTTAGAAAAATTCTCCTGGAATTAAAGCAGATGTTTGGGCTTGGGAGAGTGGCACACAGAGAAAGAGTCTGACTTTTTGGCAGACTGTTCACAAGAATTTGGCTGTTTTCCTAGACTGAAATTGTGAAGAAATTCTGTAATTGTTTGGGAAGTGTTTTTCCGATATGGCCTAGCTGTGTTGTGAGTGGCATGTGTAAGCTGATTTGCAGCTCTGTTCATGTAGCTCTCTTTGTGCTTGGGTGCACCAATGACATTTAAAAAGCCCAACCAAACCAACCCCACTCTTTTTCTGACTGGATACTCATAATGACCCTCAGAATACTCTGAGCTGAACTTGGAACATACTGCTAGAAAATTAATGGATGGGAGAGGAGCATGGGAACCCTGGGAACAGCAAACTGCCCAGGAAACTTCTTACAATCAGGATTTGGCATGGGTTGTACTTTGAATATGAAGAAACTGTGACATCTTCCCGGTACTTCTGCGTCCCGTTGGTGCCAAACAATACAAATGTGTGGGACATGAAAAGAGTTGTGGGGGGATTTAGTTATTGTCACTTGTGTATGGATTAGTTGTTGAATTGAGTTGTTCTGCAGCTAGTTTGCATGGCTGTGATTTATTCTGAGTGTCTGTGTTTCCTCTGAAGGGGGAGAGGCCCACTGAAGCACACATCCGATGTCATCAACGCCGCCAAGATGATCTCGGAGTCGGGCTCGCGCATGGACGTCCTGGCGCGGCTCATCGCTGAGCAGGTGAGGCACCCTGCCCCAGCCCTGCTGCCCCCAGCCCTGCTGCCCCCAGCCCTGCCACCTCCTGCAGGAGTGCCTGGGACACCTCTGGAGCACTTCTGAGGCACTGGACACAGAGCCTGTCTGAACCTCTGAGTGGAGCTGCTGTCAATGGTGTGCTCACGTTCACCCTGCGTGGATGTGTGCGCACATCACACGTGTCTGGGCACACACACTGAGCTGCATGTGCATTTCTGCATGTGTGAACATCTGTGAGCTCCCAGGAGCTGTCAGTGCAACACTTGAGACACACGGTGTGTATATACACATCTAAAATATATATATATTCATGGCTGCTTTAATAGATACATCATTATTATTAACATATTAAGGTGTATTGTATATAAATAGCTGTACAAAAAGCTGTTGTCCTGGTTTAACCCCAGCTGACAACTGAGTGCAATGCAGCTGCTTGGTCACCTACTCCTGGAACTGGAAGAAAAGGAAACCTCATGGGCTGTTCTAAGAAGTTTAATCATTTATAATATAATAGTAGTAGTAGTAGTAATATTGATGCTGGAAGGGAGGGAGAGAGAGGACTGAGAGCAGAGAGAAAGATGTGAGGCCCAGCACGTGCTGACGGTGCCCAGCCTGTCCCTGAACAGCAGTTGGCCCCTTCCAGGTGAGTTCCCCATGCTGGACATGAACACTCCATGGAGCTGCTGTGGAATAGCCTTTGGGGAGTTGGGATCTCCTGTCCTGGCCGTGCCCCACGCGGGTGGCTGGGACACTGCAGGGTCCCTGTGCAGCAGCAGCTTCCCCAGCACAGGATTGCTGTGGCCAGGCTGGCTGTGCTGGCTCCTGACTGAGCTGCCTGAAGCACGGGGGCAGCACTGGGAGCTGCTCCAGGTGAGCTGTGGGAACACAGGTGCTGGCACTGGCACACAGCTCTGCTGCTCTGGGCAGCTGCTTGGTCTCAGCTTAGTAAGGACAGACTTGTCCGGCTCCAGAACGCTTTCTTGTCCCTCTCTGCAGAGTTAGAGTCCACGCTTTCACTGTACCTTCCTTCTCTGCTCCCTACCCACAACACTGGCTGTTTTGGCCTCTGCAAATCTGCAGCTTGAAGGTGAATTTTGGTTTTGCATTTAATTTTTATTTATAGCTATTTTAAATAAGTCCGATTTTGAGTTACTTATCACCATGAAATGCAGAGTGTTTGAGCTGGAAGGTGTGCTCACAGCTGGTGGATTTTTAGGTCAGCAGATGGCTCAGTGTCCCCCCAGACAAGCCCAGCAGGAGCAGGGTAGCTGAGCAGCCTCGGGGAGCTGCAGTGACACATGAGCACACTTGCAGCCTCCCTTGCAGCCTGGCTGCGTCGCTCTAGGGCCGTGCAACACCTGCACAGGTGTGCAGGAAATGGCAGAGGGCACACCTGAGGCTTTTCTTCCTTTGTGGCTGCCTTTCAGGGGCAGGGCAGCACAGGACAGTCACTGTTTGCACACCCTCACGTGCTCTGTCTCTTCCCTTCACTCATCATTTCCATGCTCAGTGCTTTTCTGCTGTACTGGCTAGGAAACAACACAGTCTGTTAGTGGTTGGTGTGTGTCTCCCTCAGTTCCACATAACAGAGAATTTCTATTCTGCATCTATACAGTTATGATTGAATTTGTGGAAAAAACAGGTAAAGTGTCTGGATTCCCTATTCCTGATCTTTACACACATTCTTCCAGCACTGGACAGCAGCTCCTTTCAAGATTTTATCTATTACAGACTAAAATTCAAACCTGTCACTGATACGTTCCAGAAAACGATGAGATAGCAAAGCCAAAGATGAGTAAGGGTCATAAATTCTTGCTGGTTTTAGGACAGGGAATCCACTTCCACTGAAATATTTCTTTCAGGAAAAAAATATTTCAGCTGTATTACTACAGCAGTTCCAGACTAGAAACATGCACCAATGAGTGTGAGGAAGAAGTATTCCTGAACCATCAGTGGTGATAATTTGTGTCCCCTCAGAGCTGCTGGGAAATGTGACATCACTGAGGTTATTGAAGCTTTTGGTGAATTCACTGCAGCTCCTTGCCTTTGTCCTGGCTCAGAGCTTGCACACAGCTGACACCCAGAGCCACTGACCCCTGGGATTTGTTCTGTGCATCTCAAGGACCCTGCTTACTTACAGGTGCTGCTGGGATTTTAGCTGCAGCTTCACATTACATTGTAAGTATTAAAACCAGGAAAACCCACACACAAATGAAAAGATGGACCAAGCAGCCCTTCCAGTTGTGGTGAACACCATGGCAAGTATTGCTAGATAGGTGTCACACTTAGAAAAAAAGAGGATCTTGCTTTATTCCTCCTATTACAGATATTCTTACTAATGATCCTCTCATGCCTTGCATGGCTAGAGGTTTTTTAACTTCTGGAACCCTTTTTGGCTGTGCAGAGTTATCCTTTGAAAGCTCTTCTCTCATCCTTGTGGTTCTTTTTATCTCAAAGGTATTTTCAAATTCCTTTTCTCAGCTGTGATTTTGCCAGGTTTCCTATGCCCTGCGCTCCTGGGGTCTTAAAATGAAGTTTACATCACTCTGGGCTACCAAATAACTGTTCTCTGAATTTGGGCCAAACTGGGTAAGCCTTTCAGGAATGTGGTGCCCAGAGCAGAACGTGTTTGCCAGCAGTGCCTTCCTGAGCAGCATTCAGACTTTTTAGTGGAGTGTCTCACATGTTGCCTTTTGCTAACAGCTAAATTATGTAGAATTTCTGTTATGTGGAAGAGGATCTGTATGTTTTTTACAGCTCCCTGTTGCTGTTTTTGAAGGGAAGGGAGAGTGGGGTCCCACGAGCAGAACTCAGATGTATTTCAGTCCACTCACAGGCACTTCTGGGATGGCTCAGAGTAACAACGGTGAAAACCCTCACGGTTACAGCATCAACAGTAACCTGTGCACGTGAATCTCAAGTGCATTATAAACTCATTATCAGGGAACATTTCCTTTTGTCACAAGATTTTTGGGTTTTGTTCCTTCTGACAGAAGAATTTGCTACTTAATGTGACCTGGAAGCCCTAAGACAAGGAAGGCAGGGAGTACATCAGCCTGGTTTGAAATGTTGCAGTTGTTTTTGCACCCACGAGGATCCCAGGCAGGCAGGCAGGTGCTGAGTGGGGTCACTCAGAGCCCTGTTTGTCACAGCTAATTACGGTGATCAGGAAAGCACCGTGTAAATGATCCCTTTGGGATTGAGCTGCTTATTCCTGTCTGTGCACAGCACACCTTCCTGGTAGGTGGGGGTGCTTATCCCCAACACGGATCCCTGTAAAGACACATGTGCATTCTGTAGAGAAATGCTCTGGCCTTTGCTGGCAAAGGGATGAAGTGAGAGCAAGCCAAACCCAGAGTGGTCTGTGGCCAGGAGCTCCTGTGCAACTGCTGTGGCTTTTTCACCTGCATGCTGAATTCTGATTTCAGTCTGCTTTGGAACACCACATCACTGTAATTGCTCAAGTTGTTTGGGTGTTGTGGTGGACACTGTTGGGTGAAATACCACTGCATCTGTGGGGTGCAGGTCAGTTCTGATGCTGCTCTTACAGAACACCCCTGCCCACAGGATGTGTGGGGAAATCCTGTCAGAGTGTGATGGGCTCTGCAGTCAGGGGTGTGCAGCAATGAACTGGTAACCAGCAGCTGCCTGTGGGCTGGTGAAACTCAGAACTTACTGATTGTCCTTCTGCTGCAGCCCAGTGCTCGCTTTCACTGGTGAGCAAGAGCTGCTTGTAGCAGCTGCTTCTGAGCAACTGCGGAATATTCATTGTCTGAACTTCTGTAATTGGGTGAGGTACTATGTAGGTACCCTGTACACCTTTCTCTTGACATTTTCTGGCCACAGGGATAAAAACAAAGTGTAACTAAGGGAAGAAAAAAATGGAGTAGGACGAATCTCATTCCAGGAATGCACACCCTCTTGGTGTTATGAATTCTGATGCTCTAAGGGATTGCATTGCATTCATTGGACTTGAAGTATAATTTATTAAATTAAATAAACAGTGAGTATTCCAGTTTTCTGAAGACTGAGCTACCATTATATAAATATTTATATTATATTAAAGCAGTGCTTATTAAGGAAGAAATAAAGACGTATTTTAGAGCAGTTTTCCAGAATGTTCTAGCATTTTGAAAACGTCACACATAGCATGTCAAGGAAGTGCTCTGGTTTTGTTGTAATCTGTGTTCAAATACAGGAAACAGTAATGGATGTAGCAGAACATGAGGCAAGGACTGGTGTTAAGTCATTGTAATTAATTTGAAATTGAACACTCTGAGCTTCCTCATTCACTGTCACCTTTCACTAAGTCTAAAGCGTGAACTTGCTTAACCAGACGTTTTTGCATAGCCATGAAGAACAGCAGCCACACCCTTTGAACAGGTGCTGATGCTTCAGCAAAGCCAGGAGCTGAAATATTTTTGGAGTTGAGTTGGTGCTTTTTCTGGCTCCTGGTAAGTTTTGGATTTAAATCCACTGACCACAGTTCAGTGAAACCACAGGTGATTGTTGGCAGTGTGCAGTTGGTGGGGATGTATCGTGCTTTTTCAGTCTGCAGAGCTTAGCAGAGTTTCCTGTGGAAAGGAAGGGGTGTATTTATCATGGAAGTACCACACCTGGGCCAAACCCAGGGCTGCAAACCTGCAGGGACCTCCTGCTTCTTTATCACTCTTACTCTGTGCAGCTGGGGGAGCACAGCAGGGGCTCCCATCCCCCCTAGGATCCCTGTATTCTGCCAGAGAAATGGAAAATCAGCCTTGGGAGAAATTCATACCCAGCCTTTTGTGGCTGGCCTGGTACCCACAGAGCAACACCACGCTCCAAGTATTTAGGGGGGAAAACAGGTTTGAAAGAGCCTTTATTTCTGTAATGTAAATCCGTATTGTTAAAAATACTGAAATCAGTGAGTTTTGCATAATCCATTCTAATTCTGCTGCTCCCACTGCTAGAGAAGATCTGTAGATTGAGTTCAATACGCTTTGGATGGAACATAAAAACCCCTATAGGTCGTATGACAAGATAAAACCTGAGATACGGATGTTAACATGCCTGTGCAGGTATGGTTACAGTGCCCACAAAATCTGTTTGGATTGCCCTCATCACTGTTAATGGAGGTGTTTTCTTAGAGATCATCTGAGGAACTGAAGTAATGACTCCATCCACTAAAGGATGTGTTTAGAAATGCTGCTCAGGCAAGCACAACCATGTTAAATACAGCGTGCACATGGGGAATTTTAGGCTTAATCTGAGCTTCCAACTCCAGCATTAAAAACCTTCCCAAGAGGAATGACCTTTGCAGCCTGATACAGCTGCACTGAAAGCAAAGCTCTGCAAATGGAATACTTCTCAGTGAAGTTTTAATGTGATTCCTGAGAGATCATTTTGAGTCAGCAGTTACTGAAATGCTTTATTTATTGTTCTTTTCAGTGCCCAGACCAGTCGTGCAAACAGGATTTACTGGCTTACCTAGAACAGATCAAGCTGTACTCACATCAGCTCAAAATCTGCAGCCAGGTTAAAGCAGAAATCCAGAACCTTGGTGGAGAGCTCATCATGTCTGCAGTAAGTAGAAAAATGGCATCAAGCACTCTGTTAGACTGTGAGTTGGATGTGCCTGTGCTTGCTGCGTGTTCCAGTAACTCCAAATCCCGTTTCCTCTTCTAACACCCGCTCAGCAGCGAGACTCTGCGAAAGTGGAGCGCAAGACTTCTGGCTTTAAAGGAGAAACACTCCCTTTTTCTTTCTAACACTCCCCTTTTCTTTCTAAGTTCTCAAAGCACACTGTGGTACTGCTGTTACTCTGAAGGAGCTGGGTTTGAAGAACTGGAATCCACTTGAAAATGTGCTGCATTGGCTTATGCAGCTGGAATATGCTTCTGTGTGTCTGAACACAATAAAAACATGGCAGGGGTGGAGTTCCAGGCCAGGATAAAAATGCTGTGGGGCACCCAACAGGTCTGCAGCAATAAAGGAACAGCAAGGTGGTGCTTCCCAAGAGGGGTACGTGGGTGCTGGATCCCCTGAGGTGTGTGCTGTAACCTTCATGTGTTAGAAACGGGCTCAGACTTTATGGGTGGAAAAACAAAGTTGAGCCCTCTATTAAACCAAAAAGAAGAAAAACAGCAACAGAAGAGTGAGGATCAGGCTGGACCCTGTGACAGCAATGCCAGACACTCTCCCTTAGATCAGACTCCACAGGAGGACCCCAAGTGAAGCCCCACCACCCCTTTTACAGACCCTCCCCCTTGTCCAGGACTGGTCCATTAGCATGGTGCACTCCAGACCAATCATTGTCCCAGGGCATCAAGTGATTTGTTGTCTTCTCCACCAATGGATGTTCCTGCTGCAGACATCACCCCAGAGGTCATGTTCTGGAATGTTCTTTTAACTTGCTGAACCTTTCTTACCGCCACGCAGTACCTGACCAGCCCTGGACCATCCCCATCTCCACCTGACCACCTCCCACACCCATCACAGACCTCACCCACTTCCCTTAGAAACCCATGGGAACCCTAACTCCCTAACAACAAACATTAACTATGGGCTAGAAACACTTCATATTAAATAACAATTAACTTGTAACCCAACACTAACAATAAATTCAACATGTTACATCAATAAGTTCACTTCTAACCTGTGGGTGAGGGACCCCGCAAGGCACACGCAATAACTTCAGCAGGTGATGGATCCTGCAATCCAAATACAGCAATGTGTGAGGCACTGCTGTGTGTGTGAGGTAACAGCTTTATCTCTACCCATCACCAGCCAGCTGTGCACATCTGTCTCTGGGCATCCTGCTCCACAGCTGTCCCTATGTACCGAGCTCCATCCAGCTCTGCCTGGCTCTAACTGCAGCCATCTCTATCAGTTATCCACTTACACCTACCTCAGGTTATCTGTCTCTCTTTCCTTGTGTCTTCCTGTGTGTATGTACCTGTACCTCTCTCTGTATGTGGCTCTGGCTCTACAGCTCTCTATATTTACCTGTACCTGTCTGTACCTGTACTTCTCCCCATGTGTCTCTATCCAACTGTAGCTCCGTCTGCCTGTCTTCTCCTCCCAGCACTTAGCTGTACCTGTCCATAACTATCTACCCCCAGCAGGATGTAGCTCTACCTGTCTACACCTCTCTGTCTGCACACACCTGTACCTGTGTATCTATGGCTATCATTAGTTACCTGTACATGTCTCTGTCCAGCTACACTTACTGCACCTGTCCTCATCTGTATCACTCTCTCTGTACAGTGTCAGTATCTGACACAACCCCTGTCAAAGATCTGGCTCCATCACTGCCACTGTCTGTCAGAATCTGCCAAAATCTGACAGAATCGGCTGAAATGGTGCAGATTCTGTCAGGATCTATCTGTACCTGGCACTGCCTCTCCCTGTCAAAGGAGTCTATCTGTCAGTACCTGGTACTGCCCATCTCTACCTGTCCGAATGTGTCACCTCTCTCCATCCATCCAGAGCTGTCAGTCTCTCTACCTGGCCCTGTCTGTCCCTACCTGCACCTGTCTCTACCCACACCTTGCTCTAGAGCTGTCTCCTCTACCCATCAGTATCCCCACCTACCTATTTCTGCCTCCTAATTCTCACTAAAATATTATTAAATGTTATATGGTTTATAAACTGACCAGAAATTAAACCTTTGTTGCTGAGGTGAGATTTGAAACATTTCTGTAAGGATACTTGTGCTGGCTATTCAAATGGTAATTTAGACACCACCTCTCGAACACACAGTTAAGTTTAATTTAATGTCTAATTTCTGAAGCAAATGCTTATTGTCATTGGGGCTGCACATTAGCAAAGTTTCTCTTCCTTACCTGTTTCCTTTCCCAAGCAGTTCTGTGACTGGTGTGGGTTGCAGTAAAGCCAAATGGTGGAACCCAGTTTGGTTCTTGCCCTTTCTGTCTCCTGCTGTAGAGTACTCACGTTCTTTACCTTTTTTGTTGTGTCACCCCTGTCAACAGCCCATAATCCACCTAGTGCAAAAATTTTAAGTTCTAAAAATGAACCCCCAAATTTACCTTCACTAATAGTCCCAAAAAGATGACTGCAGGTCCTAACCCTGCTTCAAGGGAGGAGGGTGAGAATTTGTCCTTTGTGCATCCAGAAACTTGAAAAAGACAACTGCACATTCAGGTAAATGCTCAACATACACGGTTCAATACACACAGTTAGGTGGGGGCTTAGTTTGGGAGTCAGTGGAAATGAAGAATGTGCTTAGAGACCTGAAAGGCCTTGGGATGTTCTGTGAAATCAAGGTGAGACTCTGCAAGGTTGCTCCTCTCTTAACTGATCTTTAAACACGGTCATTGTTGGAGCATTTTCTTTTTGTTTTTTTTAATAATATGGGTGCTACATAGGAAAAAAACCAAGAGAGACTCACCTTTCTAACTCACCTTTTAAAGACAGTAGAGACACAGTTGGTTGCTGTCCGTGGTTATGAAAAATTTCTAGAAACTTGAAAAAAACTCTCCCTGGTCACTGTCTTGGGAAGGGGAGGCTGTGACTGACTGTGCTCTGCTGCTCCCTGCAATTAAAACTGTCCTTATGTGAGACTGCAGCCCAACCGAGCAGTGATGGCCTTTTGTATTAATTTAACTAAGTTTTAATTGCTTCCCTTTTAGAAGAATAGCAGAATTTACATTGTACAGATAAATTTCTCTCTAGAGGGAGAGGAATGCACTAGTGGTATAGAATGGCTGGTTATTGGATTGCTTTCCTTAAAAGCTGGAGCGAGTTCCAGCTTTGAGAGTGCATGTGGGGGCTTTAGGAATTCATCTCATGTCTAGGTTAGCTGGCCTTGGAAAAAAGTGACAAACCCAAGTTCTCTGAGAAAGCAGAGGGGTTCTTCTCCCCCTTCCCACCTTCTCCCTCCCCAGAAGACAGTATTAGAACTCCATCAGAAAATACAGGAGCCAGAACTGTAGCTGGAATATGATTATGTTTTATTTTCTCCCAGTCCTGATCTTCTCTGAATGAGAATCATTAAAGGAGTCAGCAAGATGATTAAGAAGAAAAAAAAGAGGCCCAGCCCTTGCTGATCAAAAAGGTTTTATTGTGCATTAAGAGAAAAACTTGTGACTCTCCAAAGAACTGAAACTAAACTGATCCTGTGGTTAGCGAAGACCTGCTACAGGAGAAGAAATCTACCAGCAGGAGCATTAGGAAATAATCATAATAATCATATACTCACAGGTTCCTCCACTGTTTGCTCCCTCCTGCACTCGTGTGTGTGCCAGAAATGCCCTCCCTGGGCATCCACCCCTCCCCTGGCTCCTCACAGTCCCTCCCTCATCTCCCTCCTCCTGCAGGAGCTGGGACAGGCTCTGGAGCAGAAGAGGGAGGGGAGAGCTCCTCTCCTGTGAGAAATGACACATTTCCACATTCCCATAGGTCACCACCAACTTCCACAGGACAAATCCACTTGCAGAAACAAAAGGAGAACGAGCACTGCCTGCTGGAATCCACACATCAAAGCACTGTTCTGAGATGGCTCTTACATCCACCCCACACCTCCCTTCTCCAAGCCCTAGGACTGTGCACAAGGATCTTGGATTTAACTCACCTTCAAGGAAAACTCCTTCTCACAAGGTTCATTAAAAAATAACTCGGCCAGCCTGTCTTGAAGCTGAAATTGAGAGGAAGGGAGGGATGAAGAGCAGAGGATGTAGTGTCACATATTTGCAGATGTGTAAAAGAAAGAGCCGTCTCCTTGAAGCAGAGCAGTTGTGGATGATGCTGTGCTGGAGCAGCTCCAGGAGCCTGAGCTGGTGGTGCAGCTGAGCCCTGGATGGTGCCATGGCACAAGGGCAGCACTGTGGGTTCCTGCCTGCACTGGGGCAGGTGCTGCTGGCTGCCAGCACGCTCCACCTGGCACTGCAAGGCAACAAAGAGCATTACACACATGAGAAACGGTGCTGAAATCCACGAACACAGCTCAATCCTCCTCAGCTGTTTCAGATCTGTCTGCCCTGCCTGGAAGGTTTCTCACCTGCTGTTCACACCCAGCTGTCATTAGTGGAGGTTAATTAGGCCCTGGGGCAGCTGGGATGCTTTGTGCACTTCCCAGCTGACAGCTCTTCCCTCTGCTCTCCTCCTGCAGTGGCTTCTGGACTTCAGCCCCCACGCTCTGGTAGTTTGCCTTCTCAATGTCCAGCCCCAAGCTCCAGTGCTTTATTTCCAGCCAGCCCCCATTATGGAGGTTGGAAGGGGTCCTGTACAGAGAAAGAGAGGAAGAGATGTGGATCATCACCTTCTCCATTCACTGCACTTTTGTTATTTTCACTCATTAAAAATTCTTGCTCACTATTTAGTCTTTCACAGGCCCATGGCATACAGTGAGTACTGCTGCTTGTAATCTGCACAAGTCCAAATGGGGAGGATTCACTGAGTCTTCATTAGGAGTGGTTAAATAGGAAATGGACATTTACTTGTGTGAATTAAACTGGTGCCTCTTCAGGCACAAAGTAAGGGGGTGAATTTGCAGTATGCAGATTGCCAGTAATTACAGTCACTTAGCGGATTAGCTGCTACCTCACAAGCACTGCACCTTACCT